GCCACCAGTGTGGAGATATCAGCGCGCTACTGAAATTCCGTGCTACGTCGGCGCGAGGATAGAAGGTACCCTTGTACGGTACTCGAGTCTCGGACAGGATAGAGTCTCAGGTATACTTTGCTTTTGTGGGACCATATCTTCATGTTACTATAGTACACAATAGCATCTCTCGTATTCACGACCCCGCGGTCTGTTGGTAGTCTGCCCTTGAACTTATTCTTTTTAGTCCGGTTTATCTTCTACTTCAGGCCCCCAACCAGCCTTCTCAGCCTCGATTTAACAATGTAGTACGTGAGACCACTATACCTCTGGTATAGGGAACTACTCCAAATCCTCTGGTGTCGGTGCGCTGAAGCAAATGCAACCTAATGACGAAATGTCATAACTAATCATACACGAATTGCAAGCGGCCTGCTCAATTCAAAGCTTAGGCAGAGTAGTGTATCCTATTAACGTGATCCCTCTAAAAGACTTGAGTACTCAACCTGCTTTGCATGTGGGCGTGGCCCATACCCTTCGCTGGCCGGTGGCCTTTGCTGTGGTGCTGGATATACTGACGAGTAACCTTGTATGACTGGTGGCGGCGGTTGAGCAGCAAGGTCGTTCCGCCGTATCTGAGGATTAGAATAGTAGGCTGCTGCCGCACTGAGTGGTGGAGCGTGCGGTGAAGTGGACGCAGCCTCTGGTCCAGCCGTGGCTGCAGCGTTCAATTGGAACACTGGCTGGTTGGCCCGCTGTGCGATCTCGTCAGGCCCCAATGTCCAGTGCATTGCTTCAGCAGAGCGCCACGGAACACCCATCTCCGATGCAACCTTCTGCCACATTGCTTCTTTGAAGCTAAGACGCGTTAGAGTCGATATAATCAGATAGAGTGGGCATGCTTACCGGACGTAGAGTCGCGCGAGCTTATTTTTCTTCTCCTCGTCCCAGTGTGCGCGCTTCTCGAGGTAGTTCTGATAGCGAAGTCGACATGAGATGGCACTCCGTCCGGGAATCCTCTTGGAAATGTCCTCCCACTTCATACCTTCGCCCCTTAACAAGACAATGAGCTCATCTTCCTGCTGGGTCCACTTTGTGCCATTCTTCTGCGGCGATTCATCGACTAGTGGCGTTTGTGATGCTGTGCGCTTGATGGAGAGGCTTCGTAGAGGTGGAGAAGGCAATCCAGAGTGACCTGAGTTGTAGTGAGGCGGACCGTTATGATGGGCACCGAAAGATAGGGGTTGAAAGGCGTTGTTATGGTGAAGCTTTTTAGGTTGTTGCAGCGGCTGAATAGATAGAGAATGTGGAAAAGGTTGCAGATTTGATATATGCAGGAGCTGGTACGTAGGAAGTCGACGTCGAAGTCGGCCCAAGTCTGCTTACGCCGGCCGCGGAGCTCGTCGAAGAGGTGGTATGCTTATTGGCAGCAGGCTAAGACGCAGAGTCTCGCGACTCGAGAAGGAGTGAGATATCCACGTTTGCAGAAAGAGTGAGCTAGCGGAGTCTTCCCCAGCTCTAGCAAATATATGTCTTTAAAAGTCTCAGGCGCGGGTGAAAGGAGTCGCAGTGTAGTAGTGTGATAGCTGCAAAGATGAGAGGTTCTTTCACCAGGAACAAAAGTTGAGGAGTGAAAAGTGAAAAGTGAAAAAAATTCAAGTCGTGTGTTAGAAACTAGCAGCTCTGATCTGGAGCTTCAAGCCGCATCATTTCTTGGAAGTAGTGTCGTAGATATATCATCTGAATCTAATTCAATACGGATAATCGTAAGCCATCGGTCTGTTGCTGCGCCGCAGCCACAAACTTTGCAGGAACTTGGAGATCTGCCGCTCTCACGTAACTCGTGGCCGATCAAGAACGCAACCCATGGCACAGAAGCCCCGCGTTACAGAGATCTGGTAAAACAAGCTGAGCATGAAGCCGCCGAGTTCGCTCTGAAATATCTTGAATATAGCCTGTCAAACAACTCGGAGGTGTGGGCCATGGCAAGTGAGGGTAGAAATAGGTGCTTAGTAGCTACCCGTCCCACGCACTTCGGAGTTGGTTACTTAGAGCAATTGGAACGAGATTGGACCGTAGTGTGACGGATTCGATGAAGCTTGGCCCGAAAAACCATGTCTGTCTATTTGCGCGCACATAGCTGCCGTACAACGTCTGCAAGACTGCCCTGAGTGACTTCTGCCGTGTTAGAATGCATAATCTCAGAGCCGTAGCCGAAGCTCAGGATTTAACTTTTTGGACAGGAACTCTTTCAGCCAGAGCACCCAGAACCCGATTATCAGAACCGCAATGACTGACGAACCAATATATCAATGTGCTTCGCCCAGGGAGTGCGCAAGTCAGCGCCTACGAAAAATTCTGGTTCTATGGAGAAGGTCTTCAGAAGGGAGCTCCGATGCTCCAAGTGGATGACGGCACGTCCTCTATCACACTTGATGACCTAGCTCGTATCGTGAGTTACTGTGCCAACCTGGTTAGTAGCTGTGGTCCCGGGTCACGGAGGATCGGGGAAGGCATGCTGACACGCTGAGATGCATTGATGCCATCTGCAACATTATTCTCATCTGTATTATTATGATATCCAACCCTTTCCAAAAATCATCGCCATGGGTGCGGTCGAACAAAATGAGGCCATGGGATCGCAGCGCATGCTTGTATTTATTCGGACCGATCGGATTACAGAGCTCGTCCTCCTTCAGCCGCTCTTGGCAACACTCTGTTGCCAAGAGAGGCTTTACAAACAAGGGAACCGGAAGGAGTGTCTTTGTCACCAGCACTCCGATTATTTTCAAGCCCCCAAAGCCCTCGTGATCCGCACCATATGCCAAAACGATCGGGATGTCAGAACTATCAAGCAAAGGACGCCTATCGGCGAAAGACTCACCATCACCCCTGGCTTGCGAGGAGCTGATCGAGGTGGATGGCGACCTGAGAACCATCCTTCAAGAAGGAGCCAGCGAGGCAATGGGAGGGATCTCCGTTTACACGAGCCAATCCTCGAAATTCGACAGCGAGACAATCCAGAGGTGCCGCAGCAAAGTTGCAGAAGAGCTGAATCGACGACAAGGCCCAAGCACCCTACCCAGAGAGTATCGTATCTGCGAGCTGTTCGAATCTCATCTACAGACAATCCGAATTTACAAAATAATACAGATAGAGAAGCTTACGGAAAGTGGCGTATCGCCAAAAACCCCCCCCAGGTATCCAGGAGCGCGAAATAATTACCACTTCTATCGCCGCGCCCAATCAGCCAACCTCTTGTTTACATCGAGACTTGTTTCAGATGATCCTAGAACATGTCCAGCAACAAGGGGTGCGCACGTACGGGTCGGCCGCCATGCAGGAGTGACTTACATTATTATAATTGCCGCCGCAAAGTCCTTGCGCGCCACACCACTACCTACTACAACCACCTACTTTTATATGGAAGTGGCGCATAGTGACTTTATTAAATTATATAAGTTTGCTTTCAAGATTAGTAGCAGTGGGATATTCTACTTAATAAAGAAGATAATAAGAACGCTGTCGTCTCTTTACGGCTCCTCTATCTTCCCTTTCTTTATATATAATTAGGTTGTCCTGAGCACGAAGAGTGGTAGGATGTTTTTCGCCAAGAGTTATTCTCTTCTAGTACCTCGCTAGACACTCTTCTCCGATACCCCAGCCAGGTCGTAAGTATGCCAGATACTCCTTGGAAGTAATCTTACTTTCGATCTTTACTTCCTTTCCTACGTACTCATCGATAAGAGTTCCGGGCGGTATTGTGCGGGCAGCGTTTAAGGATATCCGCCCTTTCGGATTCCGAGCTATAAAGTATAGCTCCGATGAAGATTGCCAAGGGTAGTCGAGAACGTGGAAAGGTGAAACCCTTTTGCGTTGATACCTTTTACGTCCAAGATAAGTGCACTTCTTTTGAATTTTAAGGCATGCTGCACATTGCGGTTGCTCTCGACTGCACTTCTGTTTTCGAGCGCTATGACTTAGTTACCACCCTACTTCGCATAGCCGAACTTCACTCACCGGTCAATGCTCGACCAAAGCTCTCATGGCCATCAGAATTGGCAAGCGCCGCTGCGCAGCCTTTTGGACGGCTTGTCGGATAGCATCACTGGTCCGTATGGTATATGGTAGAACGCATCGTCATGAGGACAATTTTATACCTATGAGGCTTGCAGACGTCTTTAGTCTACTGGAAAAAAAGATGTAAGAAGTTGTTGTTGAATAGCAGTCATGGCGAAAGCATCAAAGGACTTCCACCAATGACTGCACAACGAAATGGAGTTCCAGCCCTGATCACCCACTGAGTACTACAGCGTGTCTATGTCCAGTATGAAGTGAGATCTCCGTGGGCCTAAGGTTCTTGCCACCTGATATGGGACGATCGTGAGCTCAGTCGTTGGAGACTCAGAAAAATTGACGCACTATTGGCCGCTCGCATATACGGCAGCGTACCTATCAGCCGTCACGATATGGTATCCACTCCACCTTCCTCTGATGAGACTCGATTTCAGTGCTGCCGGTGAAGCATAGCCAACTGACAAGCCTGGTCGACCCTTGCCATTTGAAAACGGACTAAGGTCCAGAGTGTCGTTTCTGCGTCCCCTGAACACGGGGGTCGTGAAACGCTTTCCAGCTGGTGGACGGAGTCGACCCCCTCGAGGTCGGCACCAGCCTTGGCCGCAAAGCCCCCCAGCATCGTAAAACTACTCATTCTCCCTTCGTTATGAAGCTCCTCACAGCACGTGAAATTGTCCTACATTATTACCCTCATGTCTCCATCTAATCATGAGAAGCAACCAAAACCACAAATCGACAGTACGGTCTCAGGGGCGTTAGGCCGTCTGATGGCAAAGGGGACTTGGACCTACAAGCAAACTGATGTCGGTCAGCAAGCAGGTACATGGTGATGTCTGTCCACTCATCTGTGGTGATGATGGTGTGATGTTTCTCATGCTCAAATACCATCGAATTTGACCATGGCCTGCATCTCCAAACGAATGCGAGTGTTCAGCTATGCCCGTCAAATTTTCAATTATGGTCATGGTACGTACGCCTTTGGAAAACGAACCGTAAAGTGCTGCCCTCGCTATTCATGATTAGAAGTACCAAACAGATAAGCAATATTCTTGACGCTTCACAGCTTCGCGACCGTCCCGACATCTACCAGATATTCCATCATAAAGAGGCTTCATACATTGTTCTGGAGGACATGGTAAGCCACAACGGCCTTGCAAACCCCTCAACTAAGTACATCTAACTGTTTCTTTCCCAATGCAATCATTCACCAGAACGTGTCTGCCGTAATGAGACTCGCCGCTTGCTTTCTCTCTCGGACACATATACTTAGTAATCGCAAGCATTGAGTGGAGCCAGTACCATCAATGATTCATCCTCATAGCACACCAGAATCTAAATCTATAGAATAGATTAAGAGGGCTCAATGATTGAAAGGTGCATTATTGGTCAATGTTTGTGAGACTGTGGGTCTTCCTCCACCATCCCTGACAGCGTGACGCAGTATACTGGCGGCTGGTGTGCGACAAAGCGGCATGGGTCGCTTCATTCATGCATTGCTCTGGCGGGCCTCCCGAAAGTCATGACGAGTCAGAATAGGAGATATGTGATGTGGGCGCGTGCCGGGGCTGCAGTACATACACTGCAGTGATACTGATCTACCATGCACGTTTGAACGACCCAGGAGCACCTAACCGCCATTCCGAGGCCATCAAGAAACAACGACTTGAAGAATCTCAAAGAATCCTATCAGAATCGCCTTCTTCGTCCAAGGGTCAAGCCGTCCAAGCACTTGCTGCTCTCTTTTCGTATCCAGTTCTCGGCGCAGAATAGATTTGCCCACACGACACCATAACATTGCTCCTTATGCTTGTTGTTGATGGAATACCTGCCGAATCGAAGGTTTGGCCTAGTGAAGTCCAATTGGGACAGTTGAATGACCCCTACTATGAACACCTACGAAGTGGAGCAGAATCCTGCAGAGCGAAGGAAAGTGCAGTACGAGATTCAGAAAGCAAATGTCTATGCGAGCCATCTGAGCACGCGATCCTACATTGTCGAAAAATATCTCAACATGCGCGATGCTAGCGAGTAGATGCAGCAGAAGCAGAATAACCTGAAAGACAGGAACCGTTACGGTGTAAGACCGGAAATTAAGAATTATCTCGGCAATCGGCCTGGGGCGAGGCTCGCAAGTGCTGGTGTGAACCGCAAAGCAGGAGTGGCGAGCACGACATACGATAATACTTGTGTTATAATTCAATCACCTGCTCTTGCCGGCCCAGCGTTGAGGGCTTGGACGTGCGGCTACTCCGTGTGTAGGCCATGGATAGCTCTTCCCAGATGCTACTGCCCTTCGTTCGATATCGGTGCATTTACCGCTCCTTAGCTTCATCACGGTATACAGTTCGTATACAGTAGTGGCATAGTGTGAGACTACTTTCTGTTCGGGTTTAGAGGCTCGTCAGGTCATCACTACAGCGTGTCTATGTCCGGTATCAAGTAAGAGTCAACCTTGCCCTGGCAGCGGCCATGTATTGATAGTTCCATAAGGTAGCACTTACAGGCCATTGCTACCGCGCAAGCCGCTCTTGGCAACAAAGTGTTGCCAAGAGCGGCTTTACAAACAAGGGAACCGGAGGGAGTGTCTGACTGATCAGATAATGATGCCTCATGAGGCTCATACGAAGCACTTCTAGGTAGCCTTGCGCCTGAAGATGAAGGTTATAAAAGTAGAAATATGCAAATAAGGCAACTATGGTTAGTTGAAATTGGCGAGAATCTGATACGTAATGGACTCTTCTTCTAGGGCTTCCTCTTACTGTACTCCTCTTCCATTCCGCACCTGGCCCTGCGCTCATCGCCTTTTAGCTGTCACTGGGGTAAGAAATGGTCTAATCAGAGAATTTGACAGCCGCATGACTCCCGAAAGATGCGTAGCAGATTTACGAGGGAAATATTTGTTAGCTCTCTGCCGCAATGCATTCGTCTGCAACCAAATTAGCGCCCCTGGTCGTCCCTCACTCGAAAGCTGGACACGAGGGCACGGTACTCTGCCACACTACCCAGCAATCACTGTATTTGAAGAAGACATAGACAAAGAGGACAGGTTCAATATTATTTTTGATCAAGAAAATCCAAAAGCCAAAGGCAAATCTTTCCGTCAAGCTCTCGTCTCTGTGTGCTCTCTAATTTCGCGGCCTCGGCTCTCTTCGCCGTCGGCTCCCTTCTCGAGTGAGTCTGCATCCGGTCTGCCTGGGAGAAGGAGATGAAGGAGAAGACCGGGACTCGTATTACATAAAGCCTCCTGTAGTCCTCGTCATGAGCGGTGGAGTCTTATTATGTAATCTTCGAATTATAGAAAAGACAGCAAAAATCTTGCTGTAATGCGGCTTGTGTATTGTCGCCAGTTGTGCATGGAAACGGCCACGCGTGTCCGCTCTTCAAGAAAATTCCCTGGAGAAATTAGCAAAGATCCAGTGACCAAGGGGGGAATGAAATTTGTACTTTTGTCTTGGATGAGCGAACTTAGTTTCTGGAGGCATGTGATCATTCCCGGTTGAGTGATCTTCGCGCTCCAGTCATTTTTACAATCTTTGATCGGATTACAGCTGCGAGCATACTTCTTTTGGAAGAGCTCTATGATAATGTCGAAGCATCCGTCAATTCTTCGGACAGCTTCATTTGCGCTTTCCTCTGCGAAGCTCATCTCACAATCTCCTTGGCCCACTCTACTATCCAGAATACTGTTAACATTCTTCAGGATGCCTTCGGTAGCAATGGCTAAACCAAGAACTATAATGAACGCATCGGTCCATTCATCGTAGCCTCTACTACCCTCCAGCATGTTTTGCAAACGTCCTAGTAGCATCTTCATCATTTCTCTCTGTAATCGTGCGTAGAAATGTTTGATTTGTCGGTTCGCCAGACGCGGCGAAGTCTTGTCGCCGTAGTCATCTGGTCCATAGTTTGATAGCTTTGAGAGGATTTCAACTTTGTGTTCTTCAGGTATGGTCAAAGTGTGTGAAACAATATAGGTGGTCATTATGAGATAGTAAACCTCCGTCAGTAATTTCTCCTTCATGTTATTAGCAACCTGTCCAACGACCTCGTCACGGGCATGTGCGCTCATACCTGTTCGGTTCCCTGAGCAGGGTCGATGTTGACTAGACACTCGAACATCTGTTTCGCGAATTCTTCCTTTTCACCCGCATAGTAACGACCGACAAAGATGGGCATGAAATGAGTAGCGATCTGTTTGACATGAGTGTCATATTTGGTCACATCCTCGATATAATCAATGTTCTGTAGCCCAAGTGGAGGCGAAGCCTTTTCTACACGCATGTTTTGGCCCGTTTTTGCGTCCTTGAGGTGTTGGAATTGCCGTAACAATTCTGGATTACTCGGCTTGAATTCATAGACGTCAACTTCAAGCCAGGGCAAGCCCCATCCTGGCGTCAATTGGATCTTGATCATAGACTTTCCCCAATCATGAACATTCGCTTCGCACAGTTCGATTAACGTGTCTTTGCTGTGGAGGTCGGAAATCAAGGCTATAATCTGTTAGCACTGTTCAATACTCATGTTCGGAACATACTTGGTAGGAGAAAAATCATAAGATCAGGAAGTGTATCACGACAGCAGCCTAGTTTCCAATCATCACCTGGATTTTGTGATCTATTTACGCAACGGCGACAGATTTCGCCTGGGTCGCACTAGAATGGTCAGTCGAGCTATGGCTCTAGAAGAGTGGACTGCTCCTACTTCATCTGTCTGAATCATGCAGGGCCAACAGACAGGTGCTTTCTGGTCTGTAACGAAATTATCCTTCGAGGCGGAGCTAGCTCTAGATCGAGCATGCTATCGTCAAGGCTATCGCTCAGAGGCGTCATGACAGGGTCTTCATACTCCTCAAGCACTGGGGATACATTTCTAGGAGGAATCCCTCGTGCCTGAGGATCGTGTGATTGTCCAGCGGCAGCGCACTGTGTAGTTGGTAATTTCTTGATAGCCATGATATTCCCGTTCTAGTGAAAGTGTAAGGCAGAGGCACATATGGTCTAAGCGGAAGCTCTCGAAACTCCCGTCGCTACATTAGAGACATTTATACAAAGGGAACGACAGGGACCGTAGAAAAGTGGCAATAAGAACCCAGTCAAATAAGCAGGATCAAATCGACTTCTGACAAGGGGTGAGTGCTCAGAAGGGGTTGTGTATCAAGGATTCATGTGTGGCTTGCTGCGACCGGTCAGACAGACGCCCTCTTGATCGATCGTTCTCTGCATACATGCTCGTTCTGCTCAGCCGTATGTGTTCGGGCTCGGAAGCGGCACAGGCCTTCCGTGTATGGATCCACATCCATTTGTTGTTGTACAGTGCGCAAGCGACTGGTGGGTCAGGTTCCGAGAAGAGTTCTAATTGATCGGGATGTACCTTCACTGGTGGCTGGCCATGACAACCCTAGCAACTTTGCAGGCCGCAATGCAGCTGCTTATAAAGGTAACACTCACGATTTATTGTGTCACTTATCATGAAAAAGACACGAAGTAGTGCGGGCATCACCCTCACCGGTCACAGGCACCTCAGACCCGGGTGGTGTGCCGACTCCGCACATAGCTCTATGAGTACCCCTGTCCCTTATCGTGATTCACAAGCAAGCATTGTAGAAGCCATGGCTGTAGAGGATGATGCTAAACGACTGGGAGCAGAGGTCGGCGAGTTTGATGT